CTGGAAATTTCAAAAACCCTTTACAGCGTGGGCTTTCCGAGGTAGCGGTATAAAGTTTAATATGAAGTATTTCGAATGTTATCCAATTACTAACTTTCAAGGTGATATGCTGGTATACAGAAGAATGTCTGTGTTGTGCATTTTAATTGCTGATCCGCCAAATCATTTTTGTACCATGAAATTGATTCATTATAGCTAATGACGTTGTTTGGACGACTCTTGAAGGAATTTTATGCTACTATGCTAGCCTTGAGAATATGAAAAAATCTCTTAACCTGACCCAGGGTTTGTGAAATTTGGATCAATATGTAAATGTAGTGTAAAGCACTGTGTGTATGTATGACTCACTATATTTTTGAACATGCATGACAAAATTTCAATCCTTGTATATATTGAACATTTGTCGGAAACTATCAATTGAAACGCTTATGTATTTAAACTGTGAAGAAGCTTTGTTGATGTACTGATTTATCCATCTCATATTTTAAAACAAATGGTGAATCGTGTTCAAGAATCTCGAAGAATTTACAGTACAGTTCTGCCAAAGTAGAATATCGTATTAAAATAAATGTCTTAGTACAGTGTACTGAAATGGATTATTCCGAAAGAAAAGTTTGTTTTTCTGGTCCTCGCAACAATGTTATTTTGGTTTCGTAAAAATTAATTTTATTTATAACTAAAATTTACAAGTCTTCAACGCTTCGTCGTCAAAAGATTTTTTTGCATTCAGATCATTCAGTATGCTGAACACAGATCCTCTTCAGCCTCTATTGAAGGCACTGTATGACTGTTCATAAACCACAGATGAAAAACCCTTTGATAGTTCTAGGCTCTATGAATGTCATGGCATCCGTCTCTCTTTAGGCGGTTGCTGTCGCGAATTGACGACGTGAGATTCCGTTTCCGTCGCGCGGTCTTCGTGATAAAATTTTGAAGTTCCAGGCGTTCAGTGGTGGTCGGTTCGAGTGTTCTGAGACAGTAAATTATTTGATTTGGACGATTATCGCGAGGCTTGAAGTTGTGCAGTATCTGCCGCAAAAAAATATCCACGTGAGAATCTCTGTCTGAACCCGTCCTAATGTGGACGGAGGAACGTTCGATTCATTTCGATATTTCTGGATTTTCGTTTGTGACAGAAGACAGTGCGGAGTCGAACGATCTCTGAACACCGCGACGGACTGCTTCGGACGGTCTATAAGTGCCGTGTGACGAATATCTTCGCGTCATGTTTTAGAATCTTCGGACGTTCTGCACTATGAATGACGTATCATCGACTCGTGGCATTACCCCTTCGCTCGACGCTAATTGTGATGAGGCGTCACGTGAGCCTACATTGTTGTCTTCTATTTCGACGCTCTCGATTGGATCGCCAATAAATTTTTCCAGTCTGCCGAATGGCGGATGCGAAACGCCGATTCGGTACGTTTCTTACGAATCGGAGCTTCAGATGCCCTCTATTATGGAACTGATCCAGAAGGACCTCTCCGAACCCTACTCCATATACACATATCGCTACTTTATTCACAATTGGCCCAAACTCTGCTTTCTCGCCGTGGACGGTTCCCGATGCGTGGGTGCCATTGTGTGCAAGTTGGATCTCCACAAGCATCTCGTGTCTCGTGGCTATATAGCTATGCTTACTGTAGACAAAAGTTACCGTAAGCAACGCATTGGAACTACTCTTGTCCTGAAAGCCATAAGGGCCATGATAGCTGATCATGCCGATGAAATCGTGTTAGAAACCGAAATAACCAACAAACCGGCTCTGAAGTTGTATGAAAATCTTGGTTTTGTACGTGATAAACGCCTGTTCCGATATTACTTGAATGGAGTTGACGCGCTCCGGTTGAAGCTATGGCTCAAGTAGTTAACAGTTCTGCGTGGATTGTCGAAAACTCTGTGATCGCACATAAAGGAGTCATCGTTAGTACCGTATACGAACAGTGTCTGATTCTTTTTTATTAAATTCGCATGCGTCGATCATTTCATGAATCGTAATCATAAATATCCTCTGCAGGTTTCACCGTCGGTGAATTGAGTGTCGCGTTCGTGTGTTGACACTTGCTGTTCCTCAAGCCACCTGGCGGAATAAGTGAGCCACCAATTCGTTGCTGACTTGAGGTGAGTGTTGAATTTAGCCCTGAGGATTGAAAAAAGTGCTGAACGCGAGACTTCCGAAAAATGAGTTAGTTTTCCATTGTTTCATTATTACAGTTGCGTGTCTTCTCGTTTGAATTCATAATGTAGCATTCATTTGGTCATTATACGTATGCAAATTCTGCAGAGTATTTTATTTTCTCTGGAAAATAAACGCCGCATTACGGAGCTAATGTTAGACCACATTCTCGTTTTTCCCGTTCATAATTTTCCACCTACATTTGGACTTCAAACAAATCGTTCTCAATATGACTTTGATGTGAACAGCTGTTATTCCATCAGTATTTCCTTCATCAAAAAACAGCAAAATTCATGTTCGATTCGTTTTCTTTGTGTTTTCGTTTGAGTTGATCGACGTTCAGTTCAGTGTTGAGGAAGTATATAGGTGTACCCGTCTTCAGGACGTAGAGAACCGAATATTGATCCGAAGTCATCTTCTAAAATCTAAATGATAAGAAAAACTGGAAAAGTACGAAAACTACATTTTATATCGCTGTTCAGCTTCTTCGGCCATCATTTACCATTCTATGGATTTATGATCAGATTCTCTGCCGTGAAATTTTATGTGTGACGATAAGAATTTTATTTGTGAAGAATTTCACAAGCACTGTATTTCTATCTTCAAAATTTTATGTGGAGCGGGTTTATTATTTGTTGGAAGGGTTAACTATTTTCATGAATTTGAAAGTTGAGTTGAATGATTTTAATTTTATATTTTCAAAGGATTCTTCTTGCTGATGGAGTGCTGCTGTAGTCCGAGTGGTAGCGACATATGAACGAAGTTTCGTTTGGACAATTCGATTTTTACTTGAGCGATTGAGCCTTTTGGGAACGTGGACACGATGTATTTCTGCGAAGATTGTGCTTTTTCCTTCTCCAATCGTGACGCGTGGGAAGAACATTTATTGACTGTGCATTCCAACGACGAGCCAGATTCATCTCCGACTGAAGAGCCGCATGACTCAGATGCCGATTCCGGTGTCGCAAATGGGGACGTGGAAGAGACTGAAGAGGAAATCCCGGTTGAAAAGTGTGCAAGTGTTGACACAGAATTTCTCAGTCGACTGCGAAAGCATCCATCGAAAGTTCATTTGTCTCGCGATCCCGTGTTGCGACTAACGTGTCGAAACAGTCCTCAAGATCTCCCGGATCCTTCCGAGTGTGATTTCACGTGGGGTCAAACGCCGCTTACCGTTGATGACTACGTGGAGAACCCTGATTTCTATGTTGTGCAGTATGTGTCATTGGGAAGCTCGTGCCCGAAATGCGGAAAATTTTTCTCTGACGAGTCCAGGATGGAGACACATATGCCGCGGTGTAATTTCGAAGCAAAGCGAGAAAGGGTTGTTGTGGCAACCCTTTCTCGCTCGTCCAAAACCGCAAGCAGCTCGTTTATTACTTGCCCATCCTGCAGAATAAGATACCTGAAAAGATCGTTCATCCAACATCTGCGAACTGCTCACGAAGCGGTAAGAAAGCTTCAGTCAAACATCGCAATTAAGTTCTTCTTGCCGTAAAGCCCGAAATCAAGATAGGGGTGTGTTTTTCTCCTATTAGTTCCCGACTGCTATTTGTTTCATTTTTAAGATCGAAATTCAGTTGTGTTGTCGGGTTTAAGTAATTCATTCACAATTGTCTTGGAACTTTGGTACGGTTTCTACTTAAACGCTCGACGTACCCTCTCTGATTTTCTTTTATTTTCACGTAGGTGTCGCTGGAATATCTTCAGTTGCGTTAGTTCTGAATTTACTGTTACGTCGAGCAAATATTGTGAAGAATTGCAAGATTTGCTCTGATTCCACTGAAGTGTGGCGTGAGTTTATTAATATGTCTAGTGAGGTTATTTTAAAATTGCGGTTGGTGAGATAAGCTTGTGGAACAAATACTGTGACTCGTTCCAGTGGTTGAATATTTTTTTTAAATGAGTAATCGCACTTTTTATTTTTTTTTCTTCTGACAGAGTGGTTTAGGGAGTTAAACAGTTTTGACGAAATTGTTGAAGCCGAGTGTGTAATTTTCAAGCCAGCGTATTGTAATGTTCAATTGTCAATAATCTTTCAAATTTTAGGTGAACGAAATGGAAGCGTCCAAAGCATCGGTGCGATGTCAAATTCCCGGCTGCGACAAAGTTCTCGGGAAACGATTTTCTCATGCCGAGCACCTGTTGCTTCACCCGAGGTCTAAGGATTTTGCGTGCAAGTCTTGCCCCAGTAATTTCTGCACGTTGCAGTCGTTGCTTCGGCATTACCTCACGCATGAGCAGGAATTCTCCGGCCTCAAGACACGGAAAAAGGAAGGACCTGTACGAACTTTCATTCGAGAACCGTCTGGCAAGTTTGCGAAGACGCCCTTGCCGCGAGTCAGGAAAAAATCCTCTCAGAAACTCACTGCGTCGGCGGCAAGCAGTAAAGTCTCTACGGTGAAATCCCCTGTCGTGAAATCATCGCCGAAGCCAACGAAAAAGTCACGGATTCCTTCTGTCGGAACGCAGCCAAAGAAAACAAAAATTAGTGCAAAACGGAAATCTCCTGCAGCGTCACCTGCTCAGGCCGAACGCGAGATGGAAGCTGTTATTGAGGACGAAACTGTGCTGAGGAACTCTTGCAAACATTGCGGGAAACATTTCGCCAGTAGGAGCAACCGGATTCGCCATGAAGCGTTGCACTTTTCCGACGGACAGTATCGAGACGTGATTGTGAGTATTTCGTTTGATAGTGTAAAGTGGAATATCCGATCCCCTCGCTTTCTTCGGAATCTTTGGATTCCGTTTCTGTGAACAGATTTTCCCAAGAAATACTTGGATTTCTGGATTATGTCTGTTTTTTGACTGATGTTGATGAACTTTAGTTTCATTTGTTTAATCGTAATCCAGTGAAGTTAATGCGTATGACGCGTGGTAATCGAACAGGTGCTCTGTTTCTGGTTATCTGAGTCCCATATACAGTACTGCTACACAGTTGACCTTACAATATTTGAAAATGTGTGAAAAGTACTTCATGAAACTTCTTCTGATCTAAGAGACAGTTCATTTCTATTTTGTTACAATATCTAGAGAATGCATAGTATTGTAAAATTAAATTCAATTTTTCAACTTTTAGGTGTGATGTTTTTTGAAATGCCATCATTGGTGTAGCATGAAATACCTTTCACAGTTTAGAGGAGTACGCGTTTTTTGGACTCGAGTCAAATTGTCTATCATTAGTATTGTGCAGTACAATCTTGTTACAATGGATTAACGCTTACAACAATTTGGCCCCTGTTTAATCGCCACAATGAGATTTCAACTTCGTTTGACGGATATTCGTTCATAGCGAAGCTTTTTTAATATCTCCAATGCTTCGTTGAAACAAAATTCGGCTGAACGTCAATTATCGCAATTCAAGTTCGAAAATATTTTTCCTGTATTTTTTCCAATTTAAATAATAAAAAATATAAATGCCATTGTGACTCCCAGTGACTTAACAGTTCATTTTGAATTAAGGAACGGGAAACACTGTTCAATTTAATCTTTCGCGCGCGTTAGGATTTTGCATTCGATTAAGTGTGCCAATACAGTCTTTCGAATGATCTAATCTTTACGAAAGTAATCGGTTTGAGTGAAGTGTTTGGATTAGAACGAGTTTTTTCCTTCAGAATTTGTGGTCATGAATTTTTTTTCCATTTTCAGAATCATGGCAAATCCGGTGGTCCTGGGTTATCCGGCCCAAGATTGTCGAAAGAACCCGCGAAGTCCGGAAAGAAGGTCCCCAAGCAAGCAAAGATTTCCACTCCATCTGTTCTTCAAGACTCCGTCGCGGACGAGAAGCTGATCGGCAAATGCCGGTATTGCTTCAGAGCTGTCGATAAGCCAGATCTGATCCGCCACGAAGCTTCGCATTGGGACAAAGGCGTGTTTCGTAGCGAAGTCCCGCTTCGGCAAGTCGAAGCCAGAACTGCTGCTTTAACTCAGTCAAGCTTTAAATGTGCTTTGTGCAAAAAAGAATTCCCCACGATGTTTTATCTTCAGAAGCACAAACGTGACAAGCATGGAAAGCGCAGGAATGCGACGACGAAGAAAGCGAAGAGTCCAAAAAAGAAGCGGACGAAGGACGTTGAGACTCTGGAACCTCTAGAGATGGAGGACGAAAGTCCGAAGTTGGTTTTGAGATCTCCGGTAAAGGAGAAGATTGAAGAGAAGGCGAAATCGAAAGAACCGGTTGATCAGAAAGTGTCGAAGGAACCGAAACTTGCCATTTTTGATCCTATTTCAACGTTCGATCCAAGTTCGAGCCTATATACGTGTCTTGAGTGCAAGAAACATTTTTCCGACCCAACGATGCTCACAGAACACGTCATTAAGTAAGTCGAACCGTAATTTAGAAGCACTTGGAAAATTGAAGAAATGTATTGTTCAAAATTTTGATTCCGCTTGTAAATCTTTTTAGTATCCATAAAAATTAAAAAAAGAATGTCATGAAAAATTTTCTATAAATTACTATTCCAGAACAAGATAATTTTATGCTTCTTTTTTCATCAGAATTATTTGCACAAACCGTCTACAGTGTAGTAAGACATGAACTTATTTTTGTTGTTGTTTTGGGCTCATTTTCACGCCAAAAGATCAGACTGTGTCAGGTTTTCTTCAGCGCTGTTATTTTCTGTGTTATTTTATCAACTTTTTTTGAGGACTTTTTACATTTTAAATGCTAAATCATCAATTTTCCTTATTTCTTTTAAAATTAAGATCTTAATTTTTCCAACTATCAACGGTAGAGCCAATTAAATGTATTCCCATTGAATTCTAAGGGAAAATGTGATCCGACATAGGGACGAGGTCCTAGCACGAATTATGTTCGCATCTTGCGGCCCCACTGGTTTTTCGGGGGTTTGGACGATTTTATCCCAAGTGAATATAACCCTGTAATGAGGGCTGTTTCGTATTCCTCAACCTAGTCTGGTTGACAGAAACGGACTGCATAAGAAACGAATTTTCAAGGGAAAGTACTCCAGTGAGATATTCAATACTGACGGTGGATTGAGTTTCCCAAACCATGAAGATTTTTCAAACGTGCCTTCACGTGATGTATAAAATTATGAAAAATAGACGATGCCAAAACAATTAAATTCGACTTCCATTTGAGTGTGTTAGACGATTTCTCCTACGCTGAACTGCAATTTTTTTTAAAAGAAAAACTGTTGCCTGATAATCAATGCAAACTTGGACCACTCTGATTGTCATCTATTTAACCAAGTCCCACTTAATTAGAATAGACTCGACAGTGTCAAAATAATCGGGAGTTTGGATTGTTGGGCAGTGATTTGATGAGGTCCAAAAATTATCAATTTGTTCAGGTTTTTTAAACTTATAATTCCGGCTTCTGTTGTGAGGTATGAGCCGATTTTAAAAATCTTTGATTGTGCATTTTTTTATATTTTCTCTTCATGGGGTTTCTTTTTCTTTCATCCTTTGAACAGGTTTCATTCACGCACGTTCGTCGCGCGTTGCAGCTTATGCTCTGTTGGATTCCTGTCTCAAGCTACGCGGCAAATTCACGAAGCGTCCTGCGTCGGAGACTCTGAGAAAAACCTTAAAATCCACTGCCGACTCTGCGACCTGAGCTTCCCAACGAAGCCAGCATTTGTGCATCATGTGCACGAATCCCACAGTGACCTGGAAAATGCAGCGGATGACGTCTTGCGTGGAGTTGTCAAGGGGAAGGTTGTCTTTCCTGCCGTCGGAATGACCGTCGCTGAGCCTGCGAAAAAGTCGAGACGAACCAAGTCGGCGAGTTCTGCGTCTTCTGCAATCTCTGCGGATGACGTGTTTGAATTCAATGGTGCGAGTGCCAAAGGAGGTGGTCAGAGAAAGAGTGGGTCCGCGATGACTTTCGTATGCGTGTGTGGCTTCAGAGGTACGAAAACTCAGCAGCAAAGTCATCGGAAGAAAGAGCATCCTTCTACTAAAAAGTGAGGAAGTATTCTATCCACTTCTTGTTACATCCCTCGAGTTACTTTTGATTTGTCTTTCGTTTTTGGATTTGGTTTTTCTTAGCCAGTTGCTTTGAGGAAGAACCGCATGAAATAACATAAAATATTATTGAATTAATGCCAATGATCATTACGAAAAAAACAAAAATCATTGGCACTTCCGTCGATTCGTCATTTTTTTTAAACAGCATTTAATTGCATGATTTGTCTGCAATTAACGAACATCGGAGAAAATAACGCGGAGGATCACATTGTTGAATTCAGTTATTCAAGTGGAAAAAATAGAGCATCAAATCCTCGAAGAAGGAAACGTTTAGAACTTTAGACGTCACTCGGTAATAGAGGAAAAATATTTTTTTTAAATGCTATAAGTCCTTCATGTTCTTCCGACGTTCGTTCAAAGCCTAAAAAAAACATGACAACGATTCAAATTGAAGTACAGTACAGTAAAATGTCAAAACTCATTTAAAAGGCTTTTTCGTTTTTATCTGTTGCACTTGTCCTGTTCGTGACGAATCTCTGTGTTATGAAAAATTGGAATGATGTCTTGGTTTTTGCTTTGTTTTCTGAGGTTTTTGGCTCGAATATTTTTGAATCTTGCGAATATTTTGTTCAACCTAAAGCTTCAATTTGCTTCATCCCATTTTGTAGTCTTTTTGAAGACGGACGTTGTTTTAATGAGTTTTGTGTTGTTCATAGAAATCAAAGATTGGCGAGGCCGGTTTCCGACGAGGAGATGGAAGAAATTCAGCAGTCTCCAGCTAAGAAACAACGACTGGATTCTTCGTCATCTGCGACGAAAAAACGAGTATCGAAAACCAAGTCTTCACCTCTACAGTCTCCTCGACAAACCCCTGCTGTGGATCCGGAAATGGCCCCTGTTCAGTTCCTCAAGTGCACCATTTGTGGACACTTGACTTTCGCGTCTTTGATGCAGCAACATCATCAAGAAGCGCACGGGTCGAAAAAAAAGAAGAAAAGAGTTTCGACTCTGAAAAGAAAATCTGTTGGTTCGCGAAGTAGGAAAAGGTCCTTATCTTCTCCGAAGAAAATGCCCGACGAAGACAAGGTTTTGCAAACATCGCTTCACATGAACTCCGAGTAAGTGAATTCTTTTCAAGTTTATGCTGAGTAAGTGTATTCTTTTCAAGTTTATGCGAGGCTAAGAAAAGCAGTTCCCTCTCTCTTGGCTGTAGGTTTCTCAGTGCCGACTCTGATTTATGTTTGTTACCTAGGTGTCGCCCGAATATGTTCAAAGTCCCAGGTTATGTTGGATTATGCGAGCGCAGATAGCGAAATTTCCGGTTTGGCTTGGTTAGATTGTGCAATTTTATTTATTTTTTTACTTCAGGAATTTAGAAGAAACTTCGGTAAAACTTCCAAAATGTCTTACAATTTAAGGAAGATTTCCACGAAAAACTGTCGCCATTTATATTTGTTCATCGTAATTTTTGTAAATTATGATTTAGTTTCCGATTCAGAATTCTCCACCAAAAATAACAAATTTTCAATTTTATAGTCGCTCACTCGCGAGTACTGCATGATCAGCTTTTCTCGAATTCCATCACTAGCAAAATGCTGTTCTTGTTTTTTTTTCTCCAATGAGAGATGGGAGAAAATCCCACCTAAGATTATGTAAAGCAAGTTTTGGGGTAGAATTGACGAAATCCTTTATTATATTTATTGTATTTACTCTAGTATCACGCGCACCAATTTTCTCAAAATTGAGAAGAAAGAAGGGCGTGTGCATCATACGCGGCGGACATGAATATTTCTAAAAAATTTTAAATTCTAGGTGAGCGTCACACGTGCATGGAATGGAATATGTATGACAGGGACTTATTTAAATCAAGACAATTCTTGAATAATTTAATTCGGGTTGGATTCATGTTCAAATTTGTATTCTGGTGTCTTATTTGTGAAATATAGTAAAGTTTTACTTCCTAAAAAAATGTTGAGTGCGGAGTTTCTAGGGGGATAGGATTTAATCAAAATTGTAGGAAAATAATTCGGCGCGTGGTACTTGAGAAAATATATTTCCTTTGGAGCGGATTTATTTAAGAAAACCTCTTTTAAATTTCAGAACGGGTCAGCAAACCCTAATGCGTTTGGTAGATGGCTCTGAAGTGCCCATGTCGAAGCGCTTGGGTCTGCGAACGAAGATGCAGTGCCCCATGTGCCCGGAAATGTTCGATACCTCTATCCTTTGGCATCGACATGTTTTGCGGAATCATTGTCTGGATGTTTGTCTCAAGACGTGGGGAGTGAAGAATGTTTCGTTGACGGCTTCGTCGGAACCATCGCCAATGGAAAATCGACCTACTAAAGCGGTAATTAAACCTTGTGCGCGTGTTACTCTTCTGGGAATCGGGCGATATTCTCGTGCTTTTAAAAAATTATCCCGTTTTTATCTGTCAGATGTTCTTTGGGGTGTCGTGGTTTAAAAAAAAGAGTTCAGAATTCCCTCCTGCGATGTCTTTTCTATCCGATTGGTTTTTAGGTTCCTTCTTTTCAAGAATAACAGGATTAATTTTTGTTATTGTCTTGAATCCGTCAGTGACGATTTTTGAGCATCATTTTTAATTATTTCAAATCATAAGCGCCTCGTTGTCCGTCGTATTTTGCAAGTAACTGAATGCCGTATTTACTCGATCGATGCGACGAACTTTTCCCCCAAAAAAAGGCTTTAAAGAATCAATAATCCGTCTAAAATTGTATGGTGCCTTTGATTTACTGGTAACATTTTAAGATTTCATGTGGTCAAAACAATCTTCAGGATGATAAGAAGCCATTTTCAAAAAATCCTAGCTCCCGTTTTCAGTTATTTGAGCACGTTAGTTGTTCCGAGTGTTTCTTGAAGTTTTTGAAGTCATCTAAATTGTGACGGAAGCACGAGTAGAATAAATGAACCCCTCTGTTTCTGAACGCATTGTTTGTTATGAAAGTGCGTCGTAAATACTAAGGCAATTTTATTCCAAATTTTTGACGATATACTGTAATACGTATTTGACGATGAAGAAGAGTACATTGCTTGAATTATTTTGGGGGGCGATTGTTGAAGCATCGATTTGTCCCATCAAAGGCGCCCGAAGAAGTGCTTCCTACTGCTTCTGTGGCGGCGGTTGAGAAAATGGGATGAAATGAGCAGCCTGAAAAAATGTGGAGTTTGCAGTGAATGTTCAGTAAGAATTCCGATTCGGAAGATTTTGCCGAAAATATAAATAAAACCAAGCGAAATTATTCTAAATTTAAAAAATCATCTGGATCTTTTGGGTACGATAACGTCGAGAAATTCTTCATTTCTTTCCAATTTTTATCCGATTATAAATTGTTCTAGTTTATTTTCAGATTAATAACTTGTTGAAAATTATTTCCTCAGTTTTTCTTCAAAGATTTTACTGGACTTTTGATAAACAAAACTTCTGTATGACAGACGTACAGCAGTACGTTTCGGTGTTTGTGTCGATTTAAAACGACAAACCTATGCAAAAACATGACGCATTGATTAAATTTTTTTTTAGAATGAAAACGAATCTGCGTTTGAAGAAGAGTCAGAAGAAATGGTCGACGAAGCATCGGAAGATGCTGACGAGGAATCAGTCCCGAAGGACATTTCTGGAAAAAAGGTTATTCCTCGCACTATCGAGCAAAGTGATCAAACCCAAGTATCTATGACGAACAACAATACATCGCATCTGGAAACGAGTTTGGAAAGTGTGACGGAATCTGACAAGTCCGCCGCCGCTGCGCGTGATTCTCTAAACACGACGTTGGGTGATGCTCGGCCGAGAAGACCGATTCAGGCGTCCCGCCGCCTTTTGGATGCGGATTTCGACAACATGCCGAACATGAGAACTCATAAGAAAAGAAGTATCTCGCCGTTGAAACCTCAGTCTGCGAGAAGAACCTCTGACGCGGCTGCGAAGAAAAAGCGTCCTAATAAAAGTAAGAAACTTTTCTCGTCGTAATAATTATTTCATATTTTGTTTACGCTGTTTCTGAAGGGGTGGACGCTTGAGTACTTGCAAGTACTTTACTAGTTCTAACGATTTAACTACGTAAAACTAAGGTTGCTCAGATCGTGATGACGATATACAGTATTTCTTTTCCCAATGTCAACACGTTTTGGAGCATTATACTGTAGTACAGTTGAACCTCGATAACTCGAACCTCCCTAAGTCGAATTTTCTTTCAAGTCTTTCTGAATTCCCAGACAGACCTGAAAAAAACCTCCCCAACGCGAAGACTCATAGACTCTCACTTTTTCTTCAAACCTCCGTAAATCGAATTTCTGTATACCTTTTCGCTATTATCTTATTCAAACAGGCAGGGAATAGCCGTAAAAGTGTAACTTGATGTGTTTTGAAAGAAAGTGAGAGACTACGAGCAAAAAACCCTTGCATCGACTTGAGCAGACTGTCAAGTCATTTAAAAAACAATTTAAGGCCTGCTAATCACCGATTAAAATTCCCTATAATTCTTCTTTCTTTCCCCTGAAACAAATGCTTGTTTCAGTTACTCGAATTATTCTTTTGGTCCCTTGAAGTTCAACTTGAAGACGTTCCACTCTTTCTTTTTTTTGGAGGCATCTTTGTATGACTATTACTGTGTACTGTATTCCGAAATTTATTTTCATCCGGCGAAGCGTGATATCCCTCGATTTATTAATGGAAATGAAATTAACTCGTGTACGAAACTATTTGTAATAGACGCAGAAATGCGTGGATCGCAGAGAGTTACGAAGATGAACTCTAGATTCTAGAAATCGTTACCAACCATGTAAGACATTTTGAAGAAATTCTGGAATTGCAGCTCATTTTTGTCACTCGATTTAGCTAGCTGGAAGAAGAAAATAGGGAACCATATCGCAGGGAATCTCTTCAATTCATTCAAATCTATTCTTCTTCTGGCTTCCCAGGATCCACCAAATTCAGTAGTTCAAAAAGATCAAAAAGCATTCCGGAAATCTCCGTTGCGATCGAGCCTGAAAATTTCGATTCGACGCGTCTCGAGGACGAAGACGACGATGATTTCGTGGCGGACTCCCTGATATCAAACGGCGTTAGACTCGGCTCGGACAACAAGGTTGACGAAGAATACCCCCCAAAATCTGCAGCTATTCCTGCGTACCAGCAAAAGAAATTCGCCGAAGTTCCGCCTCCTTCTCAGCCGGTTTTCCGCGTTCGAGTGAAGCAATGCGTTTCCATGGCCGAGCAAGTTGCTATGTTACAAGAGGCCGAATCCCAACTGGACTCCCCTGTTTCACGGTAAGGAGTTGCGCTAGAATATCTTGTCAAACGAGCTAATTTTTACAGGTATATCCCGAAGTTAATTACAGTATTGCGAGAATACCCTGTACTGTACAGTATTTACTCGCGTACCACGCGCAGCTTTTTTCTCCAAATTGAAAGGAAAAAAGTGTGGCGCGCACCATATTCGAATATACATTTTTCAAAAAGTTTTAGAAGTTTAGGTGAGCATTATCCTTGATTCTAGTGGGAAATTTCGAATCAAGGTTAACATAAAATCTTCTTGTAATGGAAATCATCGAAGTTGGTTCAATTCATGTCTAAATTCAAATTTGATTGTTCTTGTTTTTGAAATATTGTGCTTTCGCAGTCTCTGAAAATGAAAATTGCCTCTTAATCGGGAATAGGATTTTATCAAAATTTCCAAGTGAAAAATCCCGCTGCGTGTCTTACTTGAGGACGCGTAGTACTCGGGTAAATACGGTACTTTTTCTTCACAGGAGAGAGATATGTTCAGAAAATAATCGAAAGAGCAAGGAAAGCTAAAAATTGAAGGCTATTTGATGCGTCTGGTCAATTCGCGGAAGCAGGGCATTTTATTATTTGTGACGTGAACGGGATTTTGAAAAGTGGGTAGGACGGCGTCATATATCCGTTTTTTAGTCCGTGTTTTTCATTCCTACTGTTGAACCTCTCTATGTCGAATTTTTAAAAGTCCGTGTCTGAATTCTCTTAGATACAAAGCATTAAAAACCTCTCTAACAGTCTAACATAAAGGCTTTCTACTTCAAACCTCCATAATTCAAATTGTGCGGAGGCCTTCTCGCTATTATCTTATCGACGAAGGACAGAGAGAAGCAATGAAAATGTAACGATGTGTTTTGAAAGGATGTGAACGATTGATTTTGCGTATGAACCCTTGCCCTCAAGTTCTGCATTCCGTCAACTCATTTAAGAAGGTATTGAAGGTCCAGAAAATCGTCCAATTGCAATTTTTGTAATTTATCCATCCCTCGAATTTTTATGCTGATCCTTTGGAGTTCAACTTGAAGAGTTCGACTGATACGTTCGTTTCATTGTTGGGTAGGTTGATTTGCTTTTGTTTGCTTGAATTTTACAAAAAGTAGACCAACACAAGTTGGAAACGGACTTCTCTGAATCCGATTTTAGCGGATCTGTATTTATTATCGTACTGAATTGAATTGAAGATCGAGATCCACTCCAAAAGTATTTTACAATTGACACAAATTACGTAGTTCCTTGTTTGAACTGATCGGGGAATTTTTATTCCATCTCTTTTCGACTTGATGCGTGGGGAATGCGACCGAGCTCGATATGCGAGATAATTTTGCAGTACTGTACTGTAATTTCGCTGAAGATCATTGACGTGTTATTTTAATTTTTTTCAGGCTCACCTGTTCGGAATGCCCCGAATTGTCATTCGACACCCCGTCTCTTTTTTATGAGCACTTCAGTGGTAACCACAGAGTCACAGAACCCGTCACATGCAGCATTTGCAAGTCATCTTCGAAAAATCTGCAAGCCCTGCGAAATCACGTTCGTCGACTCCACGCGGACATATTCCCCTTGAAGTGTCCCGAGTGCCCGAAAGTGTTTTCCCGAGGACGCGGCCTAGATATGCACATGGAACTGGTACATCGTTCGTCAGCAGGCGGAAAAGTGGAGCAGTTGAAGAGCGAAAAGGGGAAGACGAGGGAAAAGAAAGACCAGAAGATCGACCCCGTGGGCACCTTGTTGTCGGAAGAGATGGGCATCGATGAGAGTGACCCGGAAGACTTTCCAGAAGCTATTCAATCAGCCTTGACTCTAGATTAGTCACAAGAGTGCGAGCGAGTCTTCTAATTTATTTGAGGTACGGTTAGGTTTTATACGATTTGTCGAGCGTTTGTTTACGAGTTTTAAGTTGAACTGCAACTCTGTTAAATCCTGTTTTTGATTCGCGTGTAGATGTAAAATTGTTTTGGTCTTCGGTTTGCTCGGCTGATACCCGAGGAGAAGAGAAAAAAAAAAGAATTCCCGTCTGCGTTGGAACAGTTTCTGTGAGATGACTTTGTGTTCCTTCAGTTCATAGGCGAGGGAAGATTCATAACAACCTTTGATTGCGGTTCGGGTTATCTGGCGCTTTTGTACTTCTCGTGGTTATTTTTCGTCTGAATTGAGTTTGTATTTCTTCACTTCGTGACATAATGCCGTTGGAATGTTCGAAGTAGGATGTCAGTGTTCATATGTTTGCTTGAAACTTCGCGTTGAGTTCTTTCGCACGTGAGCAGATCTTCGAAATAAAAGAATGCTTTTTAGATACTTTTCAGTGGTTTGTTGGGATTATTTTTTGACAGATTTCTCTTTTCTGGAGGCAATGTTCAGAGCAGATAATCATGATACGCGAATTGAACTTAGTTTTGATAATTTTCAAGATAACTTTTAGATTATTGAACTGTTCCTATAATTTACAGTACAGCTATGCGGAAGCTGCATGTTATGGTACAAGTACAGTACCTACAGATAAGTGCCCTCAAGTACATTCTTGATTAAATTGAAGAACAGAAGTTAAAACTACTGGATATACTGTACCTATTCAAGAGGGCTTATCTATGTGCAGTTGTTGAGTTATAGATAATCTGGCAAGATGAGAGTTTTTGGCTCACAGCAACTGCTGGGCTTTCAAAGAGTATTATAGGTGACTTCTCTGCTATGGCCTTGTCTACGACAATTTTCTCTGTGAAAATGAATTCGTTTTGATCTCACAGGAGTTTCTCACCATGCCGCAAAGGTTCTCTAAAAAAAGTATACAACCAAGTTTTCTGGTCCTTAGAATTCTGCTGTACTGTACGCAGTCAACCTGCATTGCATTGGCCAACAGCTCCCAGGTTCAATAGATAAGTGAAGTACTATACTCTGCAGTCATGTACAATATAGTACTGTACAAAGCTGGCTGTCCTGGATGCGTTTGGATTACGAAGGGAGTGCTGATCAGCATCATTCACCGTCTGCAGTTCGTGGGGGCAGGACTGAACTTCGGATGAATTTGTTCAAGTTCGTGTTTCATTTGTGATAGAACTGCTGTTGCGACTGAAAAGCAAGATCCGGGAAAGTAACTTTTAACTTGTCGGAGTTGCACCGATTTCCAAAAATGATAAAATCCGTGTGAAGAAGTTGCTTTCGCTCGTGGAACAGTCCTGTGATTTTTGCTGCGATTCATGGCTGAAATAAGACGCCTGAAAAAACTTCACCGATTGAAACATGGTAGCAACGTTCGGTCGCCGCAAGCTACATTTTTTGGCGAAACTCAGGAGACCGAACTTAAGCCGCTTGTCCTTCAAAAATTGCTTAGCAGCGCTCGAGCTGATGGATCTCTGAAGCTCACTAATATGGGACTTCATGAAGGTGAGAATCGGCATCCTCTGCTTGGTTGCAAGTACTAGTGTTATAAGCTCTGTTTTATAGTTCCTCAAACAGTTTGGCGAATCAATGAACCTGGGCAAGAATCAAAAGAAAATCAGTCTTTCGAATCCAGCGGATTGAAATGGTGGGAACAGGCAGAGCTTACAAAGCTTTTTCTGAGCTCAAACCAGTTGTCAGCACTTTCCGTTGATCTAGGACTGCTCACCGGCCTTGAAACCTTGGAAGTAATTCCGCATATGAAATTCTAATGACTTCATGCTTACTAATTTATTCACGTTTCCAGATTCAAGATAATCTCGTCACCGTCATTCCTGATGAATTCAAAAACCTCACGAAGCTTACGCGGTTTATCGCTGCGAGAAATCGTCTTGAATCTCTACCGCCAACGTTCGGAGACGCAACTGCGCTATCCGAAGTAAATCTATCAAAGAATGTCCTGAAGGAGCTTCCTGCTTCATTTGGACAATTAATTCGACTCGGTGTTTTGGTGAGGTCATCAGCAGTAGATATAATTTTTTACTGCTATTCCCTACTTCCAATAATCCTGCATTTACAGGACTTGAGCAATAACAAATTGACCAAGTTGCCGGATTGTTTTGGGGGATTCGCGGCACTTACCACTTTGGACTTGACGAGTAACCTTCTAACATGTATTCCTGATTCTTTTGGCTCTATGAAGTGTAAGATGATTCTGTTAGACTCTTCTTCATTCCGTATGTAATTTAAAGAATGATCTTTCAGGCCTTCGAACATTGCGGCTTGGTAGCAACAAAATTTCTTCCCTACCGTCGTCGGTTGGGTCCTTGGAATCGCTGGAAGTGCTACACTTGTCCAACAATTTTCTGAAAGAAATCCCTTGTTTGGAACCGAATCTGAAATCTGTGCTGAAAGAGTTGCATGTTGATTCGAACGCTATCACGGTGAGTTGTATCTCTGGATTTCAAGTTTTATGCAAGTTAGAATCCCGGAAGTGTGAGGTCCGAACCCGCTGCCCTTAATTCATCTAAAAATGCATTGTTTTTCGATGTAGACCCGAAATACTTGGCATGAATTCTAGTACAATCGTTTCATCACTTCCTGGTTGAAGCTATTTAGTTTCAAGCTAACCATCCTGGAGTCCTGGCGAAGTGTTCAGTACCAGAATTCTTTAAAAAAAAACTTCATCCATGTCTGCAACGTTGGGATATGATTTGTTCACAAAAACACACTTGGACTTACCGAATGATGGCCAGAAGTATGTTACTTTAATGATCTCTAATTCTCCCAAAATTCAAATATCTAAATATGTTCTTTTCGTCTGTGCTGAAATTAAATTTTAGCGTTCTTAAAATTTTATTTTTTTAAATCGAAAAACTTTTATGGCATACTCTTTTTAAATAAATATCAACATAGCTGCATTAAATATGTCTAGATGGGTTTCCTGACAATTTTTGGAAAAAACGCTAAATGAAGAAAAATTTCCTTGTTCGGAATTGTATTTTAACATGTTATAGCTTTATTCATAGGATTTGAGGCAGTGCTCGACTATTACTACGGTAATCGTTGAACTATTCTCGTTACAGGTGCATTTTGACAGTTCCGTTCCCTAGTTTTGACAGTTCCGTTCCCTAGTTTTGACAGTTCCGTTCCCCTAATTATAATCCTGTATCTCGATGCAAACAGTCCTAATTATAGCGTATAATTTTGCATTTCCCATCGGCTTTGTTGTAACGAGCGTCGACTGTGCCGTCGGAAATGTATGATAAATATGTCGTAGTTTTTATGGATTCGAATACATTCGAATAAATTATGAAACTGTCAACGAAAATATATAAAACGTACATTGAAGCAGTTGCTCTCACGATCGGATTTTCATTATATCTGTTCTAGAGCCTGCCAGTTACTTTGACCGAATGTTCAAAGCTGGCCATTTTGGTGGCGAGGGACAATCGCATAGACGAATTACCAGCCGGCATGAGCAAGATGTTGAACATACGATCCCTGGATCTTTCCAGAAATAGTATATCCAAGTAAGTGTCACCTGATTCCTGTTTACCGAAAAGTGTGTTGCCCATGATCGTGTTCCCTGTGACAGTGTGCCATGCGAACTTGCACTCCTCGAAGACCTTAAGTCACTTCTTCTGGAAGGGAACCCCATTCGAACGATCCGTCGGGATGTTTTGAGCGCTGGAACGAGGGAAATCATGAAAGTTTTGCGATCGCGCTTGGCTCCTTCGGAATGCTTTGCTGGCCACGCCCCAGCCGAAAATGCCGAAGTACTGATTCCATTACGTTGCAATCAACCTGTGATCAGCAAGGTTGCTGAGTGGCGAGACAAGGAGAGAATGTTTCGTACGAAATCGCTCTTGGCCACCGGTCTGAAGAATGGTCCAGAAGAGCTTTCCGTAGAGGTTTTTGAAGATGCACTCGGTGCCAATGTGACTGAAGTTTCCATCACGAAGAGTAAATTGGTTGTGTTCCCGGAAGGGTGAGGCTTTTCAAATATTCTTGTCATTTTTCTCTTATGAAAAATCCCCGTTTCGCATCACACTGTGTAAAGAAGACTGCTTTATTTACGCGTGGGCACGATCAATTCCTTAGTCACCGAGGTAATTTCAATTGTCTGTCACTTCGGACAGGTTGGGAATGCAGTACTGTATTTATGAATTTGCCCGAGTGAAGTGCAGCTCTCATGCATACGAAAAGAAATAAATCCGGAGATCGAATTCTTTCATGCCCTCGTACGTAAATTCGGTTTTCAGAAATTATTGAAAATACAATTAAGACCAAAGTGCCGACTTTGGTTTAATACCTGTATGCAGTCAAATCTCGGTACATTAACTCCCAGGGACCTGTGGAAAAATTCGTTGTACTGTAACTGTATATATTTTTTATAAATAATTATTCTTGGATCAGTTGGGACTTGAATTTTATGAGAAGTCAGTGAAAATTACTTACAAGTGCTTTCACGTCATATACTGTATGTTAAGAATTATCATTTCTATCTCTCTTTTTTTTTTTAATAATCAGGAAAAGTTGAAAATGTGAAATACAATTCTTACTTGAATCTTCCCTTTCTTGAATTTCTTGAAAGATCTTACTGAAATATTAATAGAAAGCAACAAATACATATGCAAGAAGACTAAGGACAACAGGTATTCATTACCTCTATGTCCCCTGATATACAGCTGTGTTCTTTCAAAAATACTGTTCATTTGAAGGAACCCTTTATAACCTCTCAAGTAAAGCTAGATAAATTTTGATGAGAGTATCATGTTTCATACTTCGTGCGATGCTAAATATTCTGATCAACAATACTGTACTGTAGTAGTATTTATATTTTTATGGTCTTTATTTATGCGCAAGTTGGATTTTCGATTTTTGCGGGAATTATTGAAAATTTATCATGCTCTTGCACGCATAATCGAGGCAAAAATCAGTTATAATGAGTTTATTGACAAAAAAGGGTTTGTTGAAACGAAATTACAGTACTATTAAATTGTTCGTATGAAAAAACTGCTGCGGCCAACAAAAAATTCGTTATAACGAGTTTCGTTGTAACGGATGTATTGGTTACAATTTATCAGGTCTGCCTAAAGCTACATATCAGTGGAAGAACATTGTATTCTCGTAAGAATACTTATTTAAACCGATTACTGAACAAAGGGATTATCCTGTTCCATTCTCTCGAGTAAAATACTGTACTCTTATTTCTCTGTACTGAGTCTTGTGTTATTTTATTTTGTGGTCGTATGTTGAGGTTTGATCGCGCGGTTGACGGATTTGATCGTTGCGTTTCAAGGTTGCGGATAGTTGTGAGCCAGTTGACGGTATGCAACTTGGCTGGGAATCGACTGGATACCCTACCGTGTTGGTTCAACAACCTCCAGTACTTGCTCATGCTTGACATATCGTCGAACGCGTTCGAAAGCTTGCCGGAAGGCTTTCTCGGGTCGTTGCCAAAACTCCGAGAGCTCAATCTTTCCCATAACCGGTAAGGAGTACTTGAATTGTTTGTGGGCGAGTCGAGTGGCGACTTTGACTGGCTTGTTTCGGATTAGCCTCACCGACTTCCCGAATGGCCTGGAAACATGCAACAAACTCGAGCTCGTGTTCCTGTCTGGGAATCAATTGACGGAATTGCGTGTCGACGTACTGGAGAAGCTAGAGAACTTGGCTCACCTCGACTTATCGAATAACAGCATCAAATCTGTTCCCCCGAGGCTTGGACTTCTGACTGGGCTGAAGTATGTTTATTTTTTCAGTTGAACATACTGTTCTTTGAAATAAAGAATGAACCTAACCTTTAAATGGAATGCGGGGTGTTCAAAAGTTACTGTGTTGTGGAAGTTATTTTTATTTTATTTGAAAATATCCATTATAATGTACCGTATTTTGTTCTTCACTTCGCTTTAACTTCGTAGGTGTCCCTGACAGTCACGATTCAATTTTAGTTAAACACGGAGTACCATGATTACCTGAGTTCCCTGTACTTTTTTTTTCAAAATTCAGAAGAAAAAGTGCGTTGTAAGCGGGTATAAATTTTCAAGAAATTTTAGAAGTTTATGTGTGTGTTATACTTGATTTCAATGGGAATTGTTGGACCAATTTTAATAAAAATATTTACAGTATTTTATTGGGGCAAGTGAACATTAGTTGCATTTAGGTTCAATTCATTTCTAAATTCAAATTTTTGAGTCCCTGTGAATTTAAATTTGAAAGGTTCAGGTGTGCTGCATTTCATTCAGGATTTCCAGCAATTTAGGGAACCAAATTTCTAGAGTTGTTATTGTTGAATTTTTTGGACACACTGTCTAGCTGCTGATTTATGCAGAAACCTTTGATGGAAATCCGTGATCCTTCAAGTAAATAAAAACTCACGCGTTTCTATGATCTAATTTTCAGGACTTTGAAGTTGGAGGGCAACTTGTTCCGTCAGCCAAGACATGACATTTTGGGACGAGGAACGGACTTCATTCTGAAATATTTGCGCGACAAGATTCCATCGTAAGTTTTTTTTTTTTTGAGAGAGAGAAAAATTTGACTTTTGATTGAGTTTTAAACGGCGCCAGATCGTGCTTCCAGAAATCTGCTTTCTGTAAATCCTGTGAATGCTTTTGAAATAGTGATACATTTATCATATCCAAAGGTTGATTGGCATGCTATTGTTCGATGATTTGATGGTATTGAACATTGGTTTTTGATTCGCGGTACCTGCGTTTATTGACCATACTTTGTTGTGAGCCGATTGACAAATATATTAAAGACTGAAACGGTTTAGATGTGGTTTTAATTTGATGATGACAAGGAAGGTTTTTTTCCACTTTTTTAGTAATCATATTTGCATTCAATGAAGGAAACCCATGCGTACAGTTTCGACTGTCTCCTACCCAGCAAAAAATTGGGCATTAGAAATTTTTTGGCCTGGGTGCACCCATTCACCAAGGCATTTGCTGACCCATTCATTTGGCTTCTTCCAAAAACCAAACGGCCAGCTGCTGCTAGTGAAGCTTTGGTTAGTCCTGTCTACTTACAGTATTAGGTTTGTCGGAAGTCGGTTCTATTTTAGGAAAACACATATTTGCAACTAATTTCTGCTTGAGTCTCTTGTTGATGTACATTATGTAATGTTTTTGATTGAAGTGTCATTAGATGGCAAGATCCTGTGTAGTGGAAGCAAGGGCGACATCTATTTTTCAGACATGCAAATTTTTAACGACATCTAGGAATATTTTGACTTAACGTGATCATTAATGCCAGACAGGTCAAGTTTACCTGCAACTCCTCATCCTTGAGGTCGGCTGTTCCAGAAAAGTTCATACATTTGGGGTTGAATCATTCTTACATACGTCGCAGATTTGATGTGAATCCTCAAGTTAAGTCCTATCCTCGGGTTTTTGTTTGTTTATGGAGTGATCAGTTGCAAGAGGGTGATTGGATTGTTCTTTTTTCCAATTAATTACTGTCATTTTGAATGAACTGTCTTCTTCCAGGCGTGGCTTCGACGCGCGTGTTCTGAAGGTATGGCCGAGAACGGAGAGCTTAATGTTGACAACTTGATCCAACGGCTGTTGGAAGGTTTGTCTTGTTCATCGGGGTTCTTCTAACATTTTACGTAATTCCTTTTTCATTTTCTGTAGTGCGAGGATGCCGGCCTGGGAAAACTGTTCAAATGTCTGAAGCGGAAGTTAGAGGCCTGTGTTTGAAATCAAGAGAAATATTCTTGCAGCAGCCGATTCTTTTGGAACTAGAGGCTCCCTTGAAAATCTGTGGTAACATTTGACGAGCTTGTTGGTGAAATTGCGTGTGAATACATGCTTTTTTTTTTTGAAACAGGAGACATTCACGGACAGTACACGGACTTACTGCGTCTGTTCGAGTACGGAGGATTTCCACCAGAAGCAAACTACCTTTTCCTTGGTGACTACGTTGATCGAGGAAAACAGAGTTTGGAAACTATTTGCCTTCTGTTGGCCTACAAGATCAAGTACCCGGAGAATTTCTTCTTGTTGCGCGGAAATCACGAGTGCGCATCCATCAACCGAATTTATGGGTTTTATGATGAATGTAAGTAGTACTCAACAGTGAGTTTGATGAATGAATCCTGAGTATGCTTAGTATCCTCGTGTAGGTAAACGTAGGTATAACATTAAGTTGTGGAAAACGTTCACGGATTGCTTCAATTGCTTGCCAATTGCTGCAATCATCGACGAGAAAATTTTCTGCTGCCACGGTGGTCTGAGCCCTGACTTGCAATCAATGGAGCAGATTCGCCGTATAATGCGTCCGACAGATGTTCCTGACACTGGTGTGTAATTTTTGTTCTCTTGGACTCTTTGGAATTTTTGTGTCATAATGGTTTTATGTTAAAGGTCTGCTATGTGATCTCTTGTGGTCTGATCCGGACAAGGACGTGCAAGGGTGGGGCGAAAATGACAGAGGCGTTTCTTTCACATTCGGCGCTGATGTTGTTGGGAAATTCTTGAATCGCCATGATCTTGATCTCATCTGCCGCGCACATCAGGTAAAAATCCATTTTGATTTAACCGCCGTCTACGTGTGCATGATCAATAACAATTTTCCATGCGCATTGAAGCGATTTTGTTTCTTTGGTAGATACTCAATTTCTGAGCAATTTTTGTGGATTTTTTCAGCATCCATATTCCTTTTTATTGGTAATCATGCTCGTGATAAGAAACATGCTGCTGCGATTGAGGTCACTGAGGTGCAAAAATTTGTGCGATATAACTTCAGTTGCGATATTTTTGAAAATTTGCTTGTTTCGTCTTTGTATAGGCTCGAAATTCTTTTCAATGTTCGTGGCCAATGCGTGTTAAGGGGCCCCGAGATGCGGACGTAATTGGTACTTTGACTTCTTCCATATCGGAATGTCTGCGTGTTGAAACATATTTTCCCTTTGACTTCAACAGGAACACATTTAATTGGTTCTTCCGTTGATCAAAAATTAGGAAAAAGCCCCCAGAAATCGAGTGAAATGATTTTTCTGAACTTGAAGATACTGTACATGAAAGAACAGCGCCGAATAAAACTACGCTGAATCTCCTGGCATGAAAAGGATCCCAGAAAGCAAAGAACATGCACAAGTCTTCCTATACTGTGCTCATATGATGGAAAGAACTCTGAAAGAAAGTAGAATAAAAATAGCATTATCTGGATTTATAATTATGGTGAATTTATATTGCAGTAGGCATTTCTTCTTAATTTTTGTGAGTATGAAAAGCTCAATTCGTTGCGAAAGGTATCAAAATTTCGAAAAATGAAATGTTCCTATTTGTCTATAATGTTTGTGAAATGTCTGTATCTCGAGACATTGTCCATTTGTCGGGCATATTTTTCGAGTCAAGTGTCCCTGAGTCGAATCGTCCGCGTGTCGGGGCCCCACTGTATTTTTCTCTGAAACAGCTCCCCGAAATGCGCGTGTTTTCAATGTCTAATTATTTTGCCTTTTTTTTCTGATCGACGAAGGTTGTCGAAGACGGTTACGAGTTCTTTGCTAAACGACAATTGGTGACGTTGTTTTCCGCTCCGAATTACTGCGGAGAATTCGATAACGCCGGTGGGATGATGTCCGTCGACGAGACACTCATGTGCTCATTCCAAATCTTGAAGCCGTCTGAAAAGAAGGCCAAGTACCAGTACGCTGGTCTGACCCAAGGTCGCGGTACGCCTGGTGTTCAGCGAGGCCTGCCCCCGCAGAGGAGAAAATTGTGAACTTGACCGAATTTCGAATCCCGAGTGATTGTATGACTGGTATGATCCTTCATGCGTGCTTGAAAGATTTTTCAATGTATGTGCGTGGGCGTGTTTTGCTAGATGTGGAAAAACTCACACTTGCAGCTATTATTTTCATCGTGAAAGACATTATTTTTAATATCACTGTTCCGTAATTACATGTTTTGATTGACTTCTGCCGGCTCTCGAAATACTTGGGATGCATTTCGGTGTGCCGAAATTGCCAGTAGGATCTGATTGGGCGATGGAAATCGACGATTTTACTTTCTGTCGCGTAGTAGCTTATTATATTCCATTTTAAAACTTAAATTTTACGCCAGGTTGAGTCAAGTTATGTCACGTCAGGATAGATCACGATACTCGTGTGGACCGCTTCAAAGTTGAAATGTGGCCTGACATTCGAAACGATGTAAAGTATTCAAAAAAATACTTTTCGATGTGTGTAATGCGCAGGTAACAAGTTCGAAATATTCTGTTAGATTTTGTTCTGCTTCGTCGACTGCTATTTTTTTGTTGTTGAAAGGATTCTGGTACATGATCTTCGCTGAATGAAGCAGCTCAGAGTTGGAAACGGGAGTATTGCGGTTGAAAAATGTGAAACTCACATTTTCGTGAAACCAAAGATCATCTGTGCAAAAGCTGGGATCAGGAGTTGAATTTCGCATTTTTCCGAGGTTTGAAAAAGGCGATTCAACATAATTTTACTATTCCAGGATATGTTATGATCTTGCAGGACGCCTCCTGGTTATTAACTCATCAAATTCTGTTGTTCCGTGAAAATTTTTCTCCTTTCAGAAGCGATTTTTTTTTGGTTGACCATAATGCATTGTGATTCAGTGCACAGAAATGTACCGAGGAACTACGAGAGATATCCGATAAGGATTAGTTACTAGTATTCAATTTTAACCGTTTCTGGATGTTATTCATAGAACGACGAAACATTATTTGTGTGTTTTATGTACGCATTCCATTTGTAATCAGTTCGCTTGAGGTGTTCGTAACACGTGTGCATTTCTTTTAAATTTAGCATTTCATGGACATCAATTGACGAATTCTAAATGCAGATTTGGTGAAGTGTTTTCTGTTATACTTTCGGAACGTGATTAGGTTTGTTTATTTTCGTGCCGCGAGGAATTCCCGCGTGATCGGTACGAGACTTTCACTCGTTGGGTTAATGCGTCGCTCATTTTTTTCGGATGATTCGGTAATGCAAGAGTGCGAATATGTTCTTATGTTCTTGTATCTTCAATGTTTCCCATTGAATAATATCTTCTGGAAATTTTGATAGCCCTAAAATGTTAGTCCAAGTTGTTATGTCAGTTACTCAATTGTCAAGTCTGGCTGGTTTCTTACGATTAATTCTAAAATCCGCACAACCATGAGAGTCTTATTAGGTCCTAATTATTGTAAGGGTTTTTACATGTGCAGTATTATGAATAGTGGGCCAAATTAATTCGAAATTCAATTATTAGTACATGTATCTCGAGATTTTGGTCGTTGATTTTGACAGAAATTGTAGTCACAGGCAGTCCATGGGTTATTGCTCAATTTGGCTTCTCGGTATTCATCCTGTAGTTCTTAAAATTTCGAAAATTCAATGAGGATTTTTGGACTCGCCTTGTTACCCAATGTTGGAAAAAGCGTGCATTTGTTTTAGAAAAACCACATAATAAGGTATGTTATTCTTTGGGAAACGCAATGCAGTATGTGTTTAATGCGTCTGTCGTTGATATATTTTATATTTCATTGCAGGTACCATAATATGAAAGAACCTCGCGCGGTTGTATTGCGTGTCAAGTGATTATGTGTTGATTGATCAATGATGGAGCAGATCGAAAGTATGTCGCCGAGTCGCGATGAGCCTCAAGAATTATCGACGAGTCCCGGTAATTCGGTGGATCTGGCTAATTGCCTGCAAGAAATCCGGTAGGTTCACTCGCTAAAATATGAACGTATCCCAAATCTCCACAGCATCGGTTTCAGTTTCACTAAAAATTCCTTTTTTTCCCTCGGCAGGCCGTTGAAAAGAAAAATTCGGAAACTCGGAAAGGACAGTCAGGTCTTGAAAGAGAAGCTTCGCTGTTGTCGCGATTCTTTGCGCTCGACCTTGTCGCAGATTGATGAAAAAGGCCGTGAACTGGTCGATGCCATCGTTGAAGTCGGCAAACTGGAGACAGTGAGTTTTCCGTAAATACTGTCTAGTACAGTGGTGCCTCGGTTTATGGACTTTGTTCAATCCATTACCCAGGAAGTTTCCTTGACTGAGTCTTTTAAAACTGTGCTAAATAGGTGGGGGTTCCACGCCCTCAAGAAGGGCGTGGAATGCATATTCGCATTCCTGGCAGGAAGGCTTTTAGAGCTTTGTCGAGTGAAGGTACTGTACTGTTATTCGAAGCGATTTGGAATGTCTGACGGTCTGCAGATTCCCTGAAAATGTTCTTCCTGAATTAATAAATGAATATGTATATAACATTAAATAAAAGCAACGTTCAGCAAATTCAAAAATATCGAGGAAGATTTTATGACAGTTCTGATTGGAATGTTTGCTCTTTGAAACTTTTCCAAGATGCAGTATTCAGTCAGTCCTCAATTTAATGCCACCATTGTGTAGTGTCTCAAATTTCCCTGGAAAAAATCTCCCTCACTTTTGTTCTGAAGGGATAGTCTGATTTACTGCCAACTCACGTAGTGCCACGAAAAATTCCCTGCCCTGGATGACAAATTGGCAGAAGTCAATGAAATTAAAGCTTTCTTTTACAGACATTGTTAGTTCATAACCAAGAATCACATTCCAAGCTCACGTACAAACTCAGGATAGTTTGAACATTCTACAGTATTTTTGAATTTACGTTGTTGAAAATTATTTTTGTTGTTGCATGAGACCGTTGAAAAAAACGTGGAAGCTTCCCTGAGAACATTGGTGATTTCTGCATGATGGCACCGATTGTAAAACTCAAACTCGAACAGAACTTCAAGAAACATCTCTGCTCTCGTACTAGACACAAAATGCGTAAAAATCTATTATATTCTATCCGATTGAGTATATGGAAAGAAAGTACAAAAATACAGTTCATTTGAGCTTTGAATTATTTCTTGCTATTTTTGTTGTTGAGAAACAGTCTTAGTTGCCTATCAATTATGTTCAAGATCATATTTTGCTCACAGCAGTGTCCTTATCAACTACCGTCGATGGAACCTCGCTCTTGATTTATCGCCAATATTGGCAATAAAATAGTGTTTTGTAGGTATTGGATTTCCGATTACACATCGCTTTTTTTGTTGCCTAAATTTAGGAAATCGCTGATGAACTGAGACGGAAGGTTAAGCTTTCGAAAAAAATTGAAAGTGGACAACAGCGCAGGGATTCTCTTCGATCGTTGGCAAGTCAGTTCGAACACGCCAGGGATCTCGTGCGAGAAGCCGCGGACGTTCTCAACAAAGACAGAGAGGAATTAGACGAAAGACTTTCCGTTGCAAAACAACGATTGGCTGGTGCCAACGCGAGAATTTCTGCGTACAAAGGTACTGCAATTCAGTTTAGTGGATTTGAAAATTGAGTCATTCTTACAGTTTCATTTTGACAATTCGCAGAGGAAATCACGGGAAAGGCTCGAGATCTTTCGAATGTCATGAGTTTGGGTTCGAAGTTACACACGTCCTTGGACACGTTGATGCGATTCATCGAGCGGAATAGTGCAGAAGGTGAGTTCTATCTCCTTTTGTCGCTTAAATTTATCTGCAAAAGTGGATTCACGATGCCAAAAGTAATTTTGAAAGATGTTATTTTTGAAGAAAGGCATTAAAATTTTAACTAGAGAAAAGAATCTACTCTTTTGATGATCCACAGATTCTACGCAGAAAAAGTATTATGGCTAAACTTACGATCAGAATCTTTAAATATTTAAGATCTTTTCGCTTCTTTTATCTTTTTCCCGTTTGATTTCAATATACTGTACCTCGTCACTGAATCTGTTTCCAGGCCCGATGATCTTCCTACCTGGAGATTTCGACCTAGCGTCGCATGAAACCCTAAGGTCCTGGGTGAACTTCAGTATCAAGGGATACGCATCGTTCCAATCGGCGAACAGGTCTTCAGAAACCATGCATTTGTCGTCAAGTTTGAGAGAAATCTCGTCCGAAAGCGAAGCGGAAGACGTTTTTATTACAGAAAAACGTGCTTCTCCCAAGAAAAGTATGCCTTTAGTCGACTCGAGTCCGATTCCCGAGCAGCAAAAGACGAGAGTCGTCAAGAAAAAACTCGGTCGGCCACCCGAACGCCGGCTGAAAGAAATTCTCTCGCGACAGAAACGAAACTCGAACGGATCCCCGAAAATCTCACGAAGTGCGAAACATGAGCGGAAATCGATTCAGGAGGAAATAGTAAACGTTAAGACAGAGACTCCGACAAGATCTCTTCGTGTAACCCGAAGAAGTGTGATAGTTTCGCGAGATTCGGAAGATGTCGCTGAAATTCTGGACATACCATCGAGCATGCCCGAAATCGACTTCGAAAGTCCGAAAATTCAACAGATTAAGGCGAGTCCTGTTCGTGCTCCGTCTCTGCGAAAAAATGTTACTACCAAGAAAGCATCGCCTGACGGAAAATCTCGTGATGCACAAAAATCTGGAAAGAAGCTTTTTTCGAAGCGAAAGCCACCTGTGTCCTCGTTGTCATCTTCTTCGGAAGACGAAAAAAGTGACGATGAAAAGTCGCGAAACAGTGAAGCGTTGAACGGTTTGAAAGAAAAAATGAAGGAACGTGTAAAGGTGAAAAATTTGTCGCCATCTCGAAAGAAGCGGAAAACTGAGGATTCTTTCCTGAAAACTCCGATCAAAACTTCTACTCCAGCTACACAACTTTCGTCATCGTCTGAAGAGGAATTTTGTGCGACTCCGAGTCCAAGAATTCAACAGATTAAGGCGAGTCCTGTTCGTGCTCCGTCTCTGCGAAAAAATGTTACTACCAATAAAGCATCGCCTGACGGAAAATCTCGTGATGCACAGAAATCTGGAAAGAAGCTTTTTTCGGAGCGAAAGCCACCTGTGTCCTCGTTATCATCTTCGGAAGACGAAAAAAGTGAAGATCAAAACTCGCGAAACAGTGAAGCGTTGAACGGTTTGAAAGAAAAAATGAAGGAACGTGTAAAGGTGAAAACTTTGTCGCCATCTCGAAAGAAGCGGAAAACTGAGGATTCTTTCCTGAAAACTATGATCAAAACTTCTACTTCAGTTACACAACTTTCGTCGTCGTCTGAAGAGGAATCGTGTGCGACTCCGAAGAGGTGAGAATTTCAAATTTTCAGTTCATTGGGAAAACTGCCGAATATTCCGAATTTAATATAAAAGACAATAAGTGCAGATTGATGAGCTTGATCCTTCAATGACCCTCACTGAGTACTGTATTAACCACGTAAATTGAAGCTACTGTTGACATTGATAAGTCAAACTTCCCTAAGTCAAAGAACTATTCCTCTGTCAAATTTTTGTCAAGTTCATGTCTACATTCCCCTAAGAATAATATAGCTCAGACCTCCCTAACTCAGATACTTTTTGTTGTGCCTTGCATCCACATTGATGAAAGCTTGTAGGTCTTTTTCACCTGATCGAAAGGACGCAGGATATCTTGCTCCAAGTCCCTCATGTCCGTGTGCTCCTTTTTTCACGGTTTTTGAATAGTGTAATAGATGTATCTGTTTAATCTATTCATTGGGCCTGACAGAAGTATGCCCGTGGTGACAATAAGTCCGTCCTTGCGAAAAACGCCGTCAGCTTCGAAGAACGCGCCAGAAGAAGCTCCTGTAGTTTCGGAGAAGCCTTCGGAGTGGAAAAGAACATTTGAGTGTCGTCCACGGACTTCAAAAATGCAAGAAAGTGTGCCAAGAACTGGTGAGGAATGCACTTCATTTAGTTTTGATGTATCGTGTTACGGTTTTAAAGGAAAGAGTCGTTGCCAGAGTTTTCGAATGCGACTTGATTCAAACTTGATAAGAATCAGTTCCAAAAACTCGCGAGAAGTTAAGTGCAATTTCTCGTTGAAGAAAATGACATGACTTCATTGACGACTGAATTATATTTATGCTGACTGAATGTTGCTCTGAAGTGTCGACCAATCGGCAAGACTTTAACTGGGTCCAAATGCAGAATTGCAGATCCCAAAAAAATCTTTCAAATTGAGGATTTCAATCACGCTTGATCGACCATTCATAATTCCCAAATTTTTACTCTCTTCTATATTTTTCGTAGCTGTGATGCTGGGGATTCCCACGTCTCCGCTGAAGAGAAAACTTGGTCCGCCTGAAACGACCGAAACAACTGATCTTGTACCAGTGACAGTATCCCCGAAGATCAAAGCATCGCCCAAAGCAAAAGCTTCTGGAAGTCAAGGTCCCTCTCAAGCGCAAACTACGAAAGCTGAAGGTCACTCTCAGTCGCAAACGAGGAGAGCAGTTGCGAAACAATTAAACGATGCCACTGAGGTTTTCATGATTCGGAAATCCAACCGACCCGCGAAATTCGTTGTCAAACGGAAAGCTAAAACAACTGTAAAATCAACCGCGGATGAGTTTGTTTCGGAAGATGTCGTTGATGAATTTATCTCTGGGGTACGTTCCTCTGAAATACTTGCTGAAGTTGACGCTACTGTGGATATTCTGGTGAGCTCCACGAGCAATGCCGAGGATTTTCAGGGAAAAACTTCAGAAGATAGTGTCTTCATTGTTCCCCCGCCAGTTGAATTCCGCAGTGATCATCCTGGTAAAACTGAACCAAATGGTATTGCTTGCGTGACAGCAACTCGACCGAAGAATACTACCACTAAGCAGTCGGAAGAACGAGAATTCGTTTCGGAAATACCAGCGCCTTGCATCATGGACACGACTGAACTTTCTGTGAATGTTGATCTTTCGGTGACAGATCTGTTATCTTCTGGATCGCATCTTGAAGAAACCTTTACGACTGAAGAATTACCTTCAAAATCGTCACTTCCGAGTGTTTCGAGGTCAACTTCTTCGTATGATCAGTCGCACACTTCGAACGTTTGTTCACAAGCCCGCGAAAACGGCACGAATGAAATGTCTCCTCTCAAGGATGAGGAAGTTTCCCAGCTCACATCGTCAGTATTTAACGGTTCTCGAATATCTCTAAACAATCCGATCAACTTGAGCGAAGATTTCCAGCCTCCGACTGAAGTTGTGCGAGATTTGTTCCTGTCCGACGAAGATTCTTCAAGCGAAGAGACAAACAAGACGACATCGGAAAGAAAATCACCTCGGCTGTTAGAATCAAGCAAAGGCGACGCTAAAAGGGAAACTTCAGAATGCAGCGGAATTCNCAGCGGAATTCAAAAGCGTATTGAATCTGAAATCATGAAAAGAAAATTTGCTCGTCGTCGTCCAACGAATTCAACGTTCGAAAGCAAGCCAGAAAAGCCGGAGAAACCTGTGAGACAAGTTCGTCGGTCAGTCAGAACCGTGGTGTCGAAGAAGAAAAACCCAGTTCCACGATCGAAGAGGTCAGAAATTTCTGTTATGAAGCATGAAGCTGATAAAGCGGAAGTTCCTGTGATGCGAAAGGCGATTAAAAGGACGAGAAGCCCGAAAAAATCGGCTGCTACTCCGAAGGCGTGTTCTGTGAAAAGCATCCAGGAAATTGTCGAACCGGTACCTGAAAGAATTGAGGGCTTGGAACAGACTCTTCCGATTTCAGAAGAAGCCGTTGCAATGAGTCCTGTCGAGGAAACAGTCGCTGAATCTGATCAACCGCGGACACCAAAGGAACTCGACGGGGAAGCGGAAAAGTCCCCGAAAGTGAATCGCAAATTATCTTTAGTTCTGAAGAAGCTGGATGTTCAAATTTCCCAACCAGCTATGATTCCGTCCGGCGATCTTACCCCTGCAATTGAGGCCAGTCATGCTTTCACTTGCGAAGTTGACGAGAAGGACGAAATTCCGCAGGTTATTCCTGCAAAGGTGATGGCCCTTGAAACCCGCGAACAGCCTAGATCTCAGATATCGGCGATATTCGGGAGTGACTCCGAATCCGAATATTCTCCTGTGATCATGTCCCCGCAGGATATTGACGGGCTTGCCCGTGATCTGGAAATTTCCGATGAGGAGTCACAAGAATTTTCACAAGAGGAACCGGAAACTCCGGTGAAAACCGCTCCTAGTGGAGAGATAACGAGTCGTCGAACTGAATCCATCGGTGATCTCAAATCATCAAGTAATGAACAAATGGAATCCTCTTCTCTGAATATGGAAACAGAGGAGTCGAAAGAAACGCTCCCTCGAGTGGGTGAAACTCTGAAGACTTCTGAAAATGAAGATAGGAAACTTCAGGAGATTCCCGAGGATTCCTCCAAGATCAGGGAAGGACCAGTGGATGTCATTGAAGGCGACAAAGTCATTTCTGTCGTGGAAGGGGAGAATATCCCGTCACAGAAGAAAGTGGACATGCGTGAGCTTTTTGACATGTCCTCTGATGATGAGTCTCCTTCCGCCATTAAAAATAACATTTCAAAGGAAGAAAGTTCGTCAGATTATTCGACTAGCTCCGATTCGGAAGGAGAAGATGAAATGATAGTTGAACAATCGAAAATGTCCGCCGACCTGATGAACACAGTTGCAGATTTCGGCCTTGCTTTGCCAGCTGCATCCTTAATGGTAGCCGAAGATCAGAATTTTTCGAGAGATCCATTGGATAGCGAAGAAGACTTGACGATAGAAGAGCCTATTGAGCGCAATTCGGGTTCCGGGAGGAATTTTTATGCGTCAGCTGACAAAACTGCTGTTTCCAAGGAGGAGCCCCGCGTTGATCCCTCAGAATTTGTAAAACCAGTGCCTTCGTTTTACGGTGGAGAAGCTTGTTTGTCTGATCGAGAGCCGGAAGAAACAATCAGTGGACTGAACTATCGTAAGTAGATTTTGCCACAACTCTTAGTATCGAAAATAGTTTGACTTGATATGCGTCGCTTGAGGTGTTTTCGTCGACGAAAGACCCACTGTAGAGGTGCTGAAGAGTCTCGCTAAAAGCCTGTGAAATACTGGGGTTGGTTTACGATTTTTCGGCTGGGCCTTAAAATCAAGGTTCTTCAAGTACCAGCGTATCTAAATAAATGTGCTTGATTTACAAACACCGTTTAAAATGTGGGAAGGTTTCGCGTTGCCTGCTTCTTCCCGCTGTGCTATTTTTACGAGATAATTTTTTACAAGAGTCTCTTACGCGATTTTCTCGGCGATATTCATTATTCATCTTTCATTCTGCAGTTCCGTTGCCTGGAAGATTTGCGTCGGTCGTGGCAGCAGTTGAGCTGCTTCTAAATAAAGACTCCATCGATTTGGCGAAACAGAATGCGAGAAATCTGCTTTTGAAGGAGTGCGAAAGTGGAAACTTCGCCGAGTAAGTTCGTCGTCGAGCCTTTTTTTATCGTTTTCATACCCGGTTTTTTATTTGCAGCGCAATGATCCACCTCATAGAAGCCGTGGAAGGAAAGTTGCTATTGGACTGTGAGTTGGTGCGGGAATTCAGTGATAAGCTGTATCCACGATGGATCGTGAAACTGTCGACTTTATGCGCCGACCTCAATTTGAACGACTTTTCTATGAATGCGTTCCTCGGTCGGTTTCTGGTAACCGGGGAGTTGAAATTTGAGGTAAAATGTCGCTTCACTTTTTCAGTGCAATTTTGTTATCTCCTGGTTGTTTGTATTCGTGACGCATTGTCCTTTTAGATTAATTTTTTAATCTACTATAATTATTTCAATTGATCTCATCACGCCGTGTTATTCAAAAGCTACTGGAAGACACGCAAATTAAAAATATTCACAAACTAAGGAGAAAATATTGATGGAATGTTTTTCAAATCTTGTATGGGGAATATTGCAGTACTGTAGAGAAAATCTTCGTTGTGTTACGTTCTCCTCATAATCTATGTTGACTCATGTATATTCGCAGCGAGGAATGGGGGTCGGCAAATGCTTGGCGTTCATTTTTCACTTGGCGCAACGCGGAGGTTTACCGTCGCTGTTCCTCAAGAAGTTTCTGTTGCACGTTTTAAGATCCAAGGACTGGGATGTACCCAAAATCATTATGAGTGTCATGATCTTGACCAGCAACAACCATGGGAGTGACACCTTCAGTGAGTCTTGCTCTTACGCATTTTAATTTTCCAAAGAGGGAGTGCGTTATTAATGAGTGTCGTCCATTAATTAGTTTCAGTTATGTGCGACTACTTGGCGAGTATTGTTGCCGGTCCATTGCGATGCTTCGGTTGCTCTATGACATCGAAGAAATGCACTCTGGCGCCAGAACCAACAGATTTAACTGCCTTTCCCTTGATTGTTTTGAAGAGTGAGTAAACATGCGTACAGTAATTACGTATTTCGAAGAAACAAGTGAGAAATGTGAATTTTTTGTTGTTGTGCAGTCGTACAGAGTTCTAAGGCATCCCTGGATGAATGGATGATCACGAAAGAAGTCCTTGTGGCTGTGAAGAATTTGAAGGCGCCTGTTGGAGATGCTAGGCTTATGTGGAATGTTTTGGAGGACGTGTTGTGGCATTCTGCTGGATGAGGATGGGCATGTTCTTTGCATTGCCAACAGTGGGTTTGGTTGCCAGTGATGGAAACATGGACTTTTTGGCAAAATTTGATCTGCGAAACGGTGCAAATGCTTCCTGAGCTTTTTTTTTACATGTCCTGATGAGAAATGAATGACCTTTGGTCATTTTTGCTTTGTGTTTATTTAACTTTTTAGAGATCACTACCAAATTTACTCAACTACATACAGAAGTACTCTCTATACAGGGGTGCACCAGATATGGCCCATGGGCCAGATCTGGCCTGCAGAGCCACCATGAAGAATCACAACTCACAAATGAAAACTCCCAATTGTGAAAATCTCAAGATGCCAAAGTTAGCAAATTGTATGAGAAATTTTATTAGGGCTTCAAAAATTGTGTAATGCTTCCTTCTAACAAGAAAGATAATTAACATTATAACTGTATGAAAGTCTGCAAGGAAACCAGCAGCAGAGCAAAAATGTGTGCGTATATGGTACAGAACAGTGTGCAATAACATGGTGAGTTTTTTATGAGTTTCATGAGCTCGATTACAAATTCCAAGGCAAACCCCTTCTTCTTTGCCCCTGGAAGTGATCCCCTCACGTCCAAATCTTCCGTACCTGCATACTGTACCAAGATATGTCCCCAATTTTCGTTGGGTGTAACAAAACGTGGAGGAATTTCCAAAGCACTCATGTGAGCGCACTTATGTTTTCACTCTCGTTGGCTATAGTTAGTGTATTAGATTCGGGAGATCGACGTATTCGACGACTTTGTTCAGGGTGGATGAGGAAGCATCAATTGTTTGGCTCTGGTTTCCTCGCGTGGACTTCCGAACAGGAATACTGTAGCATCATTTTGAAATTTGCTTCATGCCAGTACCAATTGATCTTTTCAGGGTAGCGTGCTGATCATTTTCCACCGTTTTTAGTTCAGACACACAGTTATGTAACTGTACTATACTGTACATGGAGAATAAGATGGGACAGGTGGCAAGGCTGAGGATAGGGTACCTCAAAATCAGCACAGCAGGTTGTGAATCGTAGGAGTGTACAGTACAATATAAGGAAATCACTTTTCAGAAGATCGTACAGATGTCACAAGTAACGCGCGCGAAAAGCAGGCCCCCGCCCACTGTTGTTTGAAGATGAAGCTGTGAGTCTGGTTTCTTAAAATTGGATGGATAGCTTGCTCCACGATTTCAAATACTGTAGGATTTACCTTTGTAACGACTTACAGCATTGAGTGTACTTGAAAAAAATTTTCCTAATTCCTTTAACTCTAAGCTGACCAGAACAATAGACTGCAGTGCGTTTCCCAGCTTGGAAAATTTTCTGCTGCTAGGTAGCTCAAATATTTGGCTCTCCATACGGCTTTTTTATTTCGAAGATGCGAACAATCCAGCGCGCGCGGGCGCGAAGATTCCCCCTGTCCAATTCCCATGCAACGGCTGATTTCGAGCGTTGGGTGACCGCTAGTCAGTGAAGTGAATCTGAGCTGCAACCATTCGAAGTGGAGTGTGTGGCAATGTTCGCTGCATTTTTTGAACTGCAACTTGATTTGAGTTACATGTGTTTTAAGATATATGTACTTCTTGTATGCAGCGTTTTTGAATACATTTTAAACTAATCCCTAATTTTTTGCTAGAATAACGCCTGTCTTTTCGCGCTACGCAGAAAGTTCCGTCCGTTGTCTATTATAGAGATGGAAGCTCTTGGTGATGTTGTTTCGTCCGTCAAAGGTCTGCGTGTTTCGACTATGAACAAGGAAAACATGGTGAGTATGCTTGCTGCTTTGATCTTGACGATTCCTTGATCATTTACTGTATTGTCGACTTCCAGACTCCCGGAAAATCTGACGCAGTGAAGTCAATATCCGCCAAAGAGGAAATCTCGAAACTCCCCGATGTTGAGGTTGAGCCTTTGTTGCGAGATAATCCAAACCGATTTGTTTTGTTCCCGATACAGCATCATGACATATGGCAAATGTACAAGAAAGCTGAAGCCTCCTTCTGGACTGCTGAAGAAGTAGATCTTTCAAAGGTGAGACCCGAATTGTTCACACGAATGATGTATAACCTCTATAATTCTATGTATGCAGGATTTCCAACATTGGGAAAGTTTGAAGCCTGAGGAACGCGAATTCATCTCCCACATTCTTGCTTTCTTTGCTGCATCTGATGGCATCGTGAATGAAAATCTCGTTGAGCGCTTTGCTCAAGAAGTTACTGCTTCGGAAGCGCGTTGTTTCTATGGTTTCCAAATCGCTATCGAGAACATTCATTCCGAGATGTACTCGCTGCTCATTGACACCTACATCAAGGATTCAAGTGAAAGGTGAATTCAATTTTTGCTGATGTATGTCCTGATCGAAGTGTAACTCGTGTCATTGCACATTCCTAGGGACCGACTCTTCAACGCAATTGAAACCATGCCGTGCGTGAAGAAGAAGGCTGATTGGGCTATGCATTGGATCGGTAACAAGTCACCATACGCAGAACGTGTTGTAGCTTTTGCCGCTGTCGAAGGGATTTTCTTCTCTGGTAGTTTCGCCTCGATTTTTTGGCTAAAGAAACGCGGTCTCATGCCTGGGCTGACATTCTCTAATGAGCTGATCTCTCGCGATGAAGGCATGCATTGTGACTTCGCGTGTCTCATGTTTAGAAAGCTTGTACGTAAACCGTCTAAAGCCCGTGTAACCCAAATTATTCAGGAAGCTGTCGAAATTGAGAAGGAATTTCTGACGGACGCGTTGCCTGTGCGAATGATTGGTATGAATTGTGATCTCATGGCTCAGTACATCGAGTTTGTTGCTGATCGGCTTCTTCTGGAGCTGGGTTGTCCTAAGGTGTTCATGTCCGAAAATCCGTTTGACTTCATGGAAAACATATCGCTGGAAGGCAAAACGAATTTCTTCGAGAAAAGAGTTGGAGAGTACAAAAAGTTTGGTGTTGCCGTGAGTGGAGATGGCTCTGCGAATTCCGGCGCCGGACTACAGAACAGGAAATTTACTCTGGATGAAGATTTTTGAAATAGTATCAGGTGTACTCCGGAGCTCTCTACGAGTCTACGGTACATTTTGGGTATTGAATCTGCGCATTTGTCTAGAACCGAACTTGCGTGACTAAGCTTTGATCAGTTGTCTCTTTTGACACTCATGTTTGTGGTCAATCTACTGAAGTCTCATTCAAAATACCGTGCCTTTGTCTATAGAATCCTTTCTGGTCCGTTGCATTTTCTAGTTTTGTATTGCTACTGTTCCAGATTGTTGCAATAAAGATTTCAAATCAAGGTTGGTGTGCATCTTTTATTGGCGATTGTTCAGATTTTTACGCGGTACGAAAGAGAGGCCAATTTTTGCCAGCCGGTTTTTGTCCCAGACGACCGTGATTGCACTGAACGCATCAAGACAATCGAAGTGAGTTTTTGGCCAACATCGTGGTTGCAGACCATTACACAGCGCTGCCGGGATGTCTTGGTGAGGTTTCTTAGTCCAGTTTCTGTGATGTACATCTTAGTTCTGGATTCACTATTGCAGATCTGAGATACTCGGATTTCCTTGGAGGGGTAGTTGAGCGAGTGCCTGTGATCTGGATATTCGGATCAACTCCAGCTAGTTGGACAGAAAGTGGGTCTTCATATACAGTGTGCTTCCGTACTTGCACCTGCTCCATGATTATTGCGCAAAGGCTAAGGAAATGTGTTTTCCATTTGCTACATGCTCGAACAAATCCCTGAATGCGTCAATGAAAAATGCGGATTGAACGGATCAGCACATTCATTCGGTGGACTTGCTTTACGGTACATCTTTCTGTGGATACCATGACGAAAGTTGTGTTTTCCTCCGGGTTGCCTAATCGGATCTCTCAATTCTTGCTAGAACGTCATTCTGGATGATTCTCTCGCACATTTTGAAATTATTGAAACGTATTTCATAAATGTTTGATGATGTGTGTGTACATACAGAATGGAGCCGTTCTTGGAAAACAATTTCAACCGCATGACGCTCACATTAGTCACATTCACTATCTTCATCGATCAATATCTGTACGGCATGAACCAGATTCGCCTGTCCTCTGCTCATATAAGAAGCGTTATGTCGGGTTATAAATATGAAACGCTGGAGCAGAAAAGTTCTGAATACGAAGCGAAAGGCATTGAAGCCGTGCGCAGAGATGGAGTGCCAGCTGTTGGCAAAATCTTGGAGAAAACCTTGCGTCTATTGTCTGAAACTCGAGACATTTCCGTCGTGAAGCGGTACATTCAAGCCCAGTTGTCGAAAATTCTCCTCGGTCGAGTCAACTTGATGAACTGGTGAGTTTGGATGATTTCTCTGTCGGTCAACTTTCAGCACCTGCTGCATCGTTCTATGAAAGAAACCGATTTCTTCAGTTTTCCGTGCGTTTGTAAGGTCAGTTTTTCATTGTTAGCGCTGTCATCGCATTATTTCTGCATTTATGTTTTCGTTGGTCTATTTTCGCGGGAAGTTAGAAGTATTATACCCTATTTCAGGACGTATTTGCACAGATATTATATTGTTTTAACGAGATACATCGGTGTACAGTCGAACCACAATTTAGTGCCACCATTTGTCCTGCAACGTTTTGTGGCGGTAGGGCACTTAGGCAGTGGCACTAAATCAGGGGTATTGTATATGAGAGGGAAGTTCAGTTCAGAGTTTCAATTGTAGGAAAAATAAATTTGTTTACATCAGAATGGTCAGGCAAGTCAATTTGTTCTAAAAGATAATCCCTCAAGAAATACTATAATTAGAAGCTCAGCACCAATTGTATATTGCATTTTAAAATATTAAACAAAAGACAGAATACTGTACTGTATATTTGTTTTTTTAAACATATATTTGGTGAAAGAGCTGAACTATTTCTTGAGATCTTTTTTTGTCTCTAAAGCAAAATAAAATGCCCAACGTTGTCATAAGCTTCATGTGAGTGTGGGAATGTGATTATTAGTTATAAATTAATGATATCCTTTAAAAAATGCCGTGATTTTGGCCCTTTTTTTACAGGACAATGATTTTTTGGTGGCACCAATAAGTGAGCTTGAACTAAATTGGGGTTTCCTTAAGAAATTAATGGAGGGAGATTTTTGCTAAGTAAATTTGTGGCACTATGCAAGAGTGGCACTAAATTAAGGGTTGACTGGATTTAGTACAGTGTTAGGGTTTTCTAGGGTGCTTGTGATATAGGATAATTTAAAATAATTTGGGGCCCCAATAAGATGCCAAGGTAATTGATGCTTTTTCTGGACCTGGTCTGTATGTTGGAACCTCCGCATGTTGGCTCACGTTTTCCTTTGTACATCAATGGGAATATGTTTGATAGGTTATCCTCGCTGTTGATCAAAAATTAATGGAAAGTCTTGCAAAAAAAATAGAATAAATGTTTTTTTCTACTTCAAGATACAGAAAATCACTGTGCAGAATAAAATAACACAAAATTAGATCTTTTGGCATGAAAAGGAGCTACAAACAAGTGAAAATCTTGTCATTTTGTACACAGCAGATGACGGGAAGAACAGAACAAAGAAGCAAAAGATTAGCCTGTTTTGGATCATGAATTACAAAGAATTTATAGTAAATTTTTTTTACTTGTTTTGTAATATGAAAAGCTCAGTTTGTTCAAGAGATATCAACATGTTGAAAAATAAATTTTTCTATTTGTCTAGAAATGTTATTAAAATGTCTGTACCTTGTCCAGATGTTGAGGCACATTTTTTTTTTAAATATCAACTGCCCCAAATACAAATTATCCGCATGTCATATGGACCCCACTGTATAGATTATGGTGGATTATTTGTCTAAGTTTGTCACTACATCAATTGCCATCAAGTTTTCTTTGTCATTTGACCTGTTGAAGTTAATTGCAACATCTATCTTAAATTATCTCATTTGGTGTTGGGCTCAGGGTGAGTTACATAAAAAATATGGCAGAGGCAGTTTATGCATTGAAATACTGTACTGGAGATGTCGATTTCGGAATTCATTCATTTGTACATGTCCCAGCAAAAGTACATGTATCAAAGCTTTAAAAAAATTGGATACATTATTAAGTCTTTTTACATTATAACCCAGCAAAAATGTTAGGAGTTGGAAGCTGGGGCGCTGGCACTAGGTAGTTATACAAGTAGTAATTTTCTAGATTTCCACAACTCCCTGGAAAACCTCCGACTCCCTAAGCATAGGAGTTGTTATCAAGGTAAATGTCAAGTAGGTACCAACGTTTTGAACGTCAACTCTGTAAATCATGGAGATGTACA